ACTGAATTCGACGTACCTAGTGTCGAAAATCCTGCCACTGGCGGGAGTGAAAGGCACTGCAATGACATCAGTTGAGATCAATGACATCACTGAGCAACCTCTCACGGCGAAGGCGTGGCCTCGGCCGCCGACGGCTGGCGACCGCTGAGAAAGCTTCCGCACCCACCTCCCTCATACGGGGCAATTCCTCGCATCCTAATGGAGCCTTCGCCATTCACAGAAAAACCTTCCCCTCCCCTCCTCATATCGCACTCCACAATTATTTTTCCCCGCCATCAAACAATGCCCCCTCCACTTCTACCTCATCATCTCTCTCAAAGAGCCAATACCCTCCCAGAACAATCCTACCACAGCAGTCACCCCCGATTATCCGATATTGGATAATTTATAATCGACTTTCATTTCGTGTGTAGCGTTGATGAACTGACTACAGATTTGAGTGAAAAATGTAATTAACAAACGATAGCTAAATGCAACAGAACCGAGCTTTTAATCACCCCCAAAACTGTAGTGAGTCACACACAAATCAAAGGCCGGCTAGAGATAATAAAGACTGACCCGGAACTAAAAACACTGTACTTCCTAGAAATCTAGTACCACAACAACAGAGCGACAGAGAACATACGTGACGAACTTGTAGTCAGAGGACTACAACTCAGATTCCCGGTCGAGACAACATCTGCCTGACCTGAAAATCACATAATAGAAATGCAGAGACGCGAGGACAGTTAACTCCCCTTTCCACAATAGAAATACACAGGAAAGACATGACAGAGACAAAACTCAGATTCGTAGGACATTACAGCAAACGGACTGAAAACTATCAAAAGACTTCACCCCTTCACCTCTTCCTAAATTCAACTCCCAATCCTTCCCACCCCTTCACCGATACCTTTTCCCACTTCCTAGAGGTGCACTCCCTTAAAACCCCTTATTCACGACACAGTTCTTCTCAAATACCTTAGAACCCTACATCCACAACTAAACTCCCAACATTCTTACACATTATAGAATCATGAAATCAGTCAGTTCATTAACAGAATTACTAGCAATAAAGCTCCATGTCCCGACAGAGTTCTCCTTTTACAAATAAAACGCAATAGATCTCCACCGCAAAATTAATTATTCCTATTTCTCCTTATCCTACTTTCCTAAAATCTGGAAAACCGCAAGCGTAACCATGCTCCCTAAACTTAGCAAATATCATTGGTTTTCTTCTGACTACTGTCCCCTCAGTTTGCTCCCCATCCTAGGAAAAATCCTTGAGAAGATCATCCTCGCCAGACTCATCCCAATTCTAAATCCCATTATTTGAACTGCTTCGTTTGTTTTCAGTGATTGTTCCGCAGCCCTACAATCCCGCCACCTTGCCATGGCAATAGCCATGGCAATAGCCATTCCGCTACAAAAGAGAAATGCCCGATATTTTCACTGACCTCTCCCGTGCCTTTAACGTCGTTGCATATAATACCATAAAATGAAACCCCGCCCACATATCCCAACAGACCTGAAGACCCTCTTACAAAATTACCTTTCCCAAAGATCCATCTACGTCAGACACCGATCCAAATCCTCCCCATCCATGGCGGCGTCCCGCAGGGTCCCGTGTTTTCTCGTATCGTTTTTCCATGTATGTGAATATACAGAATCGTAGCTAGGATCATGTGCACCCCTGGCAAAATTTGAACATTGCCAAGACGTATTTTCTAGGAAGAGCCCCAACACAATAACTTTGAAATTCTAATATATGTTTCACTAGATTAGGCAGAAAATTAGTTCTTACTTGCTTTTATTTAGGAAGAAAAACAATACAATAGGAGTTCGTTCATTTGCGTATTATATTATCTCTTAAAAGTTTATTTTTCCAGCTTTTTCTGGGGCCGATTTGTCCGTAATACGGTTTACATTTTTATTTGTTGCAATGTCATAATCAATAGTATAGCGAGATTACTCACACGTTCTTGACCAATCGGCCGTCGTAAATATTTTTTTTATTAATTTTATTTTGCTGAAAGATCTTTCACGGCAATACTATGCTAAGTGTAATGTCTATATTTGGATAACTGGTTACTAAGCCACATTCTTCATGGCAATTAAGAAGTGCAATGTCACCTGCAGTTTTACTTCCTTGCGCTCATGAACTTCATAAGAAGAGAAAGTTGCGAAATTCTGCGCGAAAAAAACGGCAAATTTTCGGCAGAAAAAGTCTTATTTCATGGCTCTGATAACAAAAATGTGGATACATCCAGTTGCCGAATTTAGAAAAAATCCTCTAACAGGGTGTTGCTACAATTCATGATTTGTGGGTTCTTCATACCGAAAAGTCGATTGACGGCAAAACGTCTGTCCGTCTGTGAACAGCGCTAGCGGCTAAACTGTTCAGCCGATTTTCTCCAAAATTGATTTTCTGTGACCGATCTGGCTAATATCGTGACCTCTTGAATTTGAAAGTGATATTTTAACTTTGGGAGGTATTTTACATGAAGCCTCTGTGTCATTTCCAAAATTTTCAAAAATATTGCGCCGTCGACTTTGATTAGATTTTGTTGTCGAATAGTCTAAAAGACGTTTAATAGAATGGCACAGGAATCATGTTGGTTGAAAAGTGATTTTTCGACAAATGAAAAAATTCAAATTTTTTCCCGCGTCTTCCTACAACTACAATTATGAAGATATATATATTTTTTAATGAAATGTGTTCATCAAAACTAGATCTTCAATTAAGGACACGTTAAAATTTTCGAAAATATGAGTATTTTTTGATTAATTGTGTGTCTAACTTAGTCGCCCGCTCCGAAAATCCTGCGCTTCGAGATTATAATATTAGAGGCGTTTTGAGGTAGTTGGATGCTACGTAAGTTAGAATGTATTCTTGGCTACCCGGGATGAGCCGCGTCTCGGTCAATTGTGCTGACGTTTCGGCCATCATGCTGTGGCCTTCTTCAGGGCCAAGAAGACCACAGCAAGATGACCGAAACGTCAGCACAATTGACCGGCCAGATACCCGAGACGCGGCTCATGGCGGATAGCCAAGAATGTATTGACTCCGGCCGCGGAAGCCTACGAACGCATACGTAAGTTAGGATGTGTATATTATTTCATATTTATTTGTTCGATTCAAACATTGAAGCTTTAGTTATATGTTGACAAATTAATCTCTAAGAAATTATGTAAAGCCTATTTGCAATAAATATGAAATAAAGATTGCTAGCCTTCAGTCGATTGCTACCAATTTACTCAATTGGATGCTGCGTAAGACAGAATTTGTATTTCATTTCATTTTATTATTTTATCTTTATTAAATTTATGTTATTTCATTTTAAATACCGTCATGTGTCAAATGTGAAAACGAATAGATGAGCGATCACTGTTGCTTGTTATTACCCATTGTAACGCCGCACAGATAACAGAAGGCGATAATGACGGCTGCTCATTTGCGGTAATAAAAGCGAATACTTTTATAATAAAAGCGAATACTTTTACAATAAAAGCGAATACTTTTATATAAGAATAGTACATTACCACAGTGTTTAACAATTGCTTTTAAATATTTTTCGATCTAATTTCGTATATTTTAAATATTTTTCGATCAGTATCGTATTATTTATCAACTTTTAATTATTTTACTTTTCGCATACTACTTATTATTCGCATTAAATGTTCTGCGATTTAAAATGAGTTTTACAAAAATGATTCAGAGAGACATGGTACACATAACCATTACTAATGGCGAGAAAGTACTTTCTGTTTTAGAACCACTAGTTTAAATCAGGCAAAATGATTCTATTTGATGTTTGTTGCTTTCAATCTCTAAACACAACTAGTTGGCATTTAAATCATGTTTTTTAGTTATTGTAGTATTAGTAATTGTCTCAAGAAAAATCTTATTTTTCGAAAACGAATCTTTTAATCCAGAAACTTTTTTGACCAAATTTGTGACGAAAATTTAAAAGTCGGCCAATTTCCTTTATTTAAGGCTCGGTACAAAGTCTGTATGTTAACTTAGGGGCACCGTTCCAAATCTGTGAGAGCGCTATCGTAACTATGTGCAAGGTTTTTGTGTGAGTTAGCATCATGTTTTAACTTTGTGTGCTTTTACCCTTGCAGCCCGCAGGCTGTGGGTCTGCAAAGTGCGCCCCCCACCCACCCTGAGGGTTGAGCCCCTGACCAGGCCCTAGCTACGACGCTGTGAATGACATCCCTCCTACGGACGGTGTCAAGAACTTCCTATAGGCTGATGATGAGCCTCCTTCCGATCTTCCACGCAACTCCAGAAATGCCTCAACAACCTCCACCTCTGTGCCCGCGTACACTCTATCACAATCAACCCAGAAAAAATCCAATCAATTCTCTTTTCCTTCTACCTTACCCCTCCAAATTTCCCAACATCCCATCTCTTGGCAACCTACTATTAAATACCTTTGTTCCTACTTCTCCTTCAGACTCCACTGGACCCACCACATAACCCAAACAACAAATTTACACCGCATCACCAACATCCTACAACCCATCCTCACACACCACTCCATCCATTAAGAAATCAGTGGTGCTAGAGATTGGCACAAAATTTTTCGTGCTAATTCGATTTTTAATTCATTTGGTTTGGGCTAGCTTTATATTCTTGCCCATCCTCTTGCTAGCTGCCATCAATCGCCGCCCAAAGTACATTTTTTCAAAATTTCCTCAATTTTTCGGTTCCTAACTGTAGCATCGAAATATTACTTTAAGAATATTCAAGACGAGTTTAAATTTCGTCCTAGTTTATCCTATAAGGAAGTGACTGAGGTGATTTAAAAAAACGTTCTTTGGGCAGAGCGATAGATGGTAGCTTCTTAATACTGCAATTTATCCAACTCTGCCCCTGGCAGATATCAGCTGACGGTTTCATCCAATCGCAAGCTAGAACGTCACCTTAGTGACATCACTATGGTGACATTTAAGCTTCTGATTGGATGAAAATCTCAACAAATGATACCTGCCAGGAGCAGAGTTAGAAAATTGCAGTATAGTCAAAGTATGTCACGGATTGGTCTCTAATTTTGTCGGAACAGTCCTCTCCACCCACACCTGCCGTGGACCGCCCACACTCCAACCCGCACTATGTATTTTATTTAAATGTGCAGCAGCCGTGTGTGTTGTGTGATGGTGTATGAAAAAATTACATTTCTGATCATTCTTCTTAACCGATAGAAGAAAAAACAATCTGTAGTGGTAATAAGCAACTATAATTGCCTGTTTTCCAGTTGTATTTGGAGCAGGACAATTCAAGTGGATGTGAATGAGGTTTTGCATAAATTGCTTAATTATCCTTGTTACGCTCGCAGCGTACTGAGAAGCTGGACTGGCGAGCTGGTGTGATGGAATGATCTGTTGCGTGCGGGAAGTTTGCAGGTCTTTCCAAAAAATTTGGCTCCAAATATTTCTGTTTTGTTTTCCTTCTGCAAGTTAATTAAAATGTCGTTGAAGACAGATTTATTGCTATTATTCAAGCCCTATTATTTTGTTAACATCTTACTGAGTTTATCATACATTCTTGCAAAAAAGATTCCTATGTCATGCTGGCTTGTATTTCCTACTTCTTACCCTCAGTGTGATTTAGATTCGGTATGTATTGATTCAGAGCTCCCAATAAGTTTAGTGAAAGTATAAATGAATGTGTTTTATTCATTTCATTTCTTATTTCAGAGAGAATCCGAGATTCTATTTTTCCTTCTTATTGTTGTAATGATAAGAACTAAAAAAGCTGGAAGTGTGACAATGATAAACTATTTAACCTCAAGTTTTATCTACAATAAAATAGCTAACCTCATTCTGTGGTATTATGCAGATGTCAGAATGGGAATTATATACTCAATTTTGTTTGTTTGTAAGTAATTTATTTTGTATTAAATTCAATGTTATTTGTACCACCTCTAGAAGAAAAAAAAGACTACAGACCACATTGCAACAGCTAATTCAGAAATTATGATTGTTTCATTTATATCCATTAAAAATTAATATATTAAAACTTTTAACCACCCGAGGTGGGGACTTTGTTGTTTTATAATATATTGCACCAGAAAGCATTAATTTGTTATAATTAAAAATGTTTGCATGTTACCATAGACTTGAAGTTGTTAATGGAAGAAAAGGTTTAAAAATTGGATTTGGGATCAAAACTGGCACAACTTGTATTTATTGGATTTTAATTCATTTACAAATTTATTTTTTAATCAATTGCATTGAAGATCTAAGAAAGATATTTCTGAAAGCATTCCCAAGTGCTTGACAGATGAAACAATGTTTATGTGCAGTGTTAGGCATGACCCTGCCGGAGCCCACCTATTCAGGGCCAGACAAGGTGACCTACTTCCGCACAGAAGCTGGACTGGAGGAGGAACTCTCACGTGATAAGCGAGTGGTGTGGCTTGTCACCTTCTATGCAGCCTGGAACCCAGCCTGCGTCAACTTTGCCCCTATATTTGCACAACTTTCTGCCGAGTAAGTTCACATTTGTATTGCTTATTATTTATACATCACCAGATGTGGAGATATTCAAAAGAAAAATGAATGAATGAATGAATGTTAATAATTGTTTCAGAGGAAATAGTGAGATGTTTATATCAATTCTAATAATACATGGCAGATAATAAATCTCCTTTTATACCTACACTGCCTCTGCTGCTTCATTAAATGACCTAGAATTCTCGATACTTGTATTTGGTGTCACAATTGCTGACAATTAAGCGTGCATAGATTTTCAATGAATGAAATGTTAGCGGAATGACAGATACTTAATTATATAGTAGTGAACTTAACTGTTTCGAGTTTGATCTGTAAGGTTTTAAAGTATCACTATCATATCAGGTCAGGACACAAATATTCTGAAGGAGTGCAACTTGCAAATTCCCGTCTTCCTTGTTTCAGATATGGCTTGGATAATCTCAAATTTGGGAAAATAGATATTGGCAGATATCCTGATGCAGCAACCAAGTACCGAATAAATGATTCTTCATTAAGCCGGCAGTTGCCCACTGTGATTTTGTTTAAGGAGGGCAAGGAAATTGCACGGAGGCCAGCAATTGATGGGCGTGGGAAGGTCATGAAATTCTTCTTTTCTTCAGTAAGTTTTGACTTTCACTCTTAATTCTGTTTAGTATCATTGTTTTGGGGGTTGCACATTGCAAATAATTATTTTTGTCCATTTTCTGTTGCAGGACAATGTCAAAGCTTCATTTGATTTAAATAACATGTATATTGAATGCAAAAACAATCCAATTAAGAAGAAGTCTGACAAAAGTGAAAAAGCAATTGAGAATGGGCATGAAAAAGCTGAATGAAAGCATTTCAATTCCATATTGTTAGAGTGTAGTGTCAAGTGTTTAAAATTGTTTATTTGTTCTCATAATAATTTTACATACCTCATATTTGTCTTGAGTGATAATTAGTATTTTATTATGTAAATATTAAGTTTTTATGCAAAAACATTGTTTTCTAGTCGAATGTTGAAAAATGGATTGATTGTTGAACATTTACTGTATTATTTACTTTTACAACAACAAAAAAATATAATTGTTTTGGTGCATTCAATAGTACTAATTCAAGAGTATTAAAGAGTGTTAATGTAATCCTGTCTAATTTTACATCTTAAAATATATAATGGTTACACTGACAAATGAAATTGAGAATAAGGTGATGTGCTGTTTAAAATGGCACACAATTCTTTCCGTTCTGTGCACAAAAAATGGAGGGGGGAATGTATAAGTGAATCCAGTTACCTCTGAAAACTGGTGACAGAATATATATAAATTAAAAAAAAAAAAAAAATGCATGCCTTATGAATATTCAAATAGTAAAAAAAATCAGCACAAAAATTATGAAATATTAGAAGGTGATGTGGTAGCAGCAATAAAATTATTGAAAGTATCTTATTTACTGGGTTGTAAGGGGCCTTCACTGCAATCATTCAAGTTAAAGATAACAGCATAGATGAATCTTTCCTCCATGATAATAGTGAGGACTGAGAAAGAGGCAGAGGAAATGGGAGAACCTTGAGAAAACCTGCCAAGAGTTTGCTTTGTCTGGGAATTCAACTCTGATCCAGTACTGGACTCTGTGCTAGCCATTATACCACAACTCTCCTCTTACTACCTTAAAATTCTTTCATTATTAACAAGCTGAATATTTAGTATGTAATGTCCTCTTGGTTTTTATAATAATCACATGTTTAGTAAAGAAATAACAACAGGACTGCCAAGCAACACAGATATGGCTCGAGATTGCCACTTTCTGAAAAAACGGAAAAAAATCTCAGAAAATTTTGCAACTTATTTCTTTATGGAACGATATACAAGTTCAGCAAAAAATAGAAACCAATTTTTACTTGTTTTTAAAAACTTAAAAACTTGTTTCAGTGAATTCAATGAAAGAACTGAAAAATTAGTTTGTTTTAATATTTTTCTTAATAGTGTGAAATACTGTACAAAACTTATCAGTGAAAATAAAAAATGCATTGGAAAAGCCAAGGACTTAATCTAAGAAATGAGTGGCCTCCCTGTGCTATGATCACTTCCCCTGTTCAGCATAGAGTAGTTCATTCTCAGATTTCACAGAATATAGTTGGCAGTAATCAAGTTTATCTATAGTAAGTTGGCCAATGCTTGAAAATTACTAAAAAAAATCCAAAAGTTTTTTATAAATTTAAAATCAAAGTTTAACAAGAAAAAAAAATTGTGTATTGAAGATAGATCTCTATTGAATGTGAGCCATAGTTCAAATGTTTTCCTTCATTTTGCTTTGGTGCCATCTTGCCTAGCTATACCTTTTCTGTAAGAACAACAATGCTTAAACAACTACAAAAATCTGCAGGATTTTGTTTTAAATGTAGATTGATATCAAAAGTTATAATTTAATAAAGGATCTTTATGAAGTACTAATGTGTACTGGGCACATTTTTCAGATTCTCAAGGAGTTTCATAAGCCGTGCATTCTCCCTGACAACTTGACTTTATGTGCATGCCATATGCACGAAACCATCACAAGGGCATTCACATGAAAGTTTAATTGACAGTGCTGAATTGTAGGGATGAGCCAGATTAATGTTGATAATTGGAGGCAATATGTCTCGGCTGAAGTGTTGATTGCATGTTTGGGACAAGTTCTTCCATAATGTTTATGCCATGATATACATTAATAAATGATTTGCTTGTTTTTGGTCTCACGAGAATGTGTTAGTATTTACAGTATGCCCTCGTTAGCACAAAGTCACTTAACATGAATTTCGCCACACACGAAAAAAAATTGGTTCCGGCAAGGGATTGTGGAAATGTGGACATCTATAACACTAAAATAACAAATTTTTGTGATGAGAACGCCAATATTTCGGTTCCTTGGAATTCGTGTCAATGCAAGTTTACTGTACTTTGCTTTCTGCATACAATTTAAATTTAAGAGTAATCAATTCAGCAAAGAAATGATAGCGTTTTTGTATGAATTATCTCTACCTATATCATAAAAATAATTGGTAGTGGAACTAAGCCCCATCCTCATCCCCAAAAATTTTTTAGTGTGCCTCTTAAAACTGAAGACATCAGGGGAAAAGTCCAACATGCAATTGGTTTGGAGAAGTGATAAATCTTAATTTTTACATCTGAGAGGTTTGTACTGGAAGTTACTGAAGGAAGAAGCTACTTGGTAAGAGTTGTATGTTACAAGAACTATGCACTAACACATTTAGTACAACGCTAAAAGTTTCAAATTCGGTGTTATAATTGAATTTTTTTTTAATATCTATAATAGCGTTCCTATAAATGTTTATATAATATCTATAATGAAGCTTTCTCTGTGCTCAATGTTATTTGAAAATTAACATCTTATACTAACTCAGATTCACTTTACATTCTTTTTATAATAATAAAAACTAAGAGAAAGAAAAAGCTATCCATAATGATACTTTTCGCACTGGAGAGTACTGAGAGAGCTAGTAGATCCAGGGAAAAGGACACGAATGAACATGAACAAATTGGCAATATGACTGAAATGAGAGAAGCTCAAGTTGCAAATCAGTCTTCAAGTACCCAAACAAAGTTTGGCTACAGTTTAGGCCCGTGTCACACAACCACTACATTGATGCAGGTCAAGTAATGTGCATCAAAGATTAATACTGTATCGTGCTCAGAACGGTCACAACGCTTGTGTGCAGATTCGCGTAAGATAGTATTACTCTATGATGTGCATTAGTTATCATGTGTCAACGCAATACTTGTGTGCAGGAGACCTTACAGATTCCAATTGTCTCACAGAAATTCCGAATGAACACAAATTTTTCAACTATTAGTCATTTGTAATCTTTAAAAAATTAAATATTATTCCATTAACAGCCATAACATTTCTGATCCTTGCTCAAATTAGTAAATATTATATCCTCAATACACATCACATAAATTAATCCTATAAGCGAATTTCTCAAGTGGGGAAATACAGAAATTTTACAATTATGAGTTTTTAACACTGCAAGATTTCAAGTGATGCAAAAAATAATTTACGTACCCTTCTCTGGTGTGTTAATTTTTGAAATCCGACACTGCTCCTGCAGCTAACAGAAGAAATATTAACATTGGAGCTATACAGCCTACTGAAGATCTCTAAATGCCACCTACAAGCACTGGCGGATCCAAGGGGAGGAGGGGGCATGGCCATCCACTAACGGCTTAAGAGTTTTCGTTTACTTCTATTATTTGGTAAAATTGATTTAAATATTAATTTATATTCGAATTATGTAAGTGTTCAAACAATATTGTATAGTATATCTACAGTACATACATAAAATATGATACAATAACAAATACGTTTATTATTCAACAAAACTTTACGATGGTCTCCTCAAAATGATAGCCTGAATCTGCCCTTGTCTACAAGCATCTCTATCAACTAGATCAGTGAGTAATGGAACGTTGGTAACATCCCATACCAATCTGGAAGTGTGCAGCGTAGTTGCTACACAGCGTAATCTCAGTGGGCTGGCAGAACCTAGGTGAACAGGCACACAAAACAAGACCTTTCTTATACCATCAAAAGCCGATCCATGTAATACAATGTATTGTTTGTTTAATTTGAAGTACTTTATGCAATTGATTTTTTGTCTTTCCTCCTCTTAAGATAAATTCACAAACCATCACTGGCTGTTCTGAGATGGCTAGAAAAATCCTAGAAATGTCTAACAGAACATTAATGACAGGTTAACTTGGGAAGCCTTGAAAGGAAAAGTCTGAGAACTTAAAACCACACAATTTCTAAATTATGCATAACAGAACCACAGAGGAAAATTACAGAACATTCCCTACTCCTATATAACAAAATTAAAGCTTTGATGAAAAACTACATATAATGATCAAAAGCCCCAAAACTTACTTCCAATTATACACCATCTGTCAAAGTTCTTTGCGTATGAGATGAAAAACACATCTTTAGGGAAGAAATAATATACCACTCACTCAACCTGGACCTCAAAGCCCAATCAAGCTTTACAAAACTTGACGAGTTTTTTTATTACAAAAGAAGTTAAATGACCATGAAAACTTCATAAGAAGTTTATTTACAACCAAAGAAAAACATTGTTAACAATTAAAAGGCATTATCAAACCCCTCTATTATAAGACAGCACCATCCATAGTAAGTTCTTATTGAATGTAATGAATGCTTCACTCTAATGATTCTGTTTTATTTGTTTACGTAAACAGCAGTTTCTCTTGTTCATGGTATTTCTTCCGCATTTCTTAAGAACTAAGTAATACAGAAAAAAACTGTAATTAAAATCTTCTATTGCAGAACTTCAGTACACATCAGTCAAATTTACATAACAATACAATATGTACATCATTCTAAAGCAAAGACTGATGAACAATAAAAATAATTTAAATTGTTTCATGCTGCAATCTGATAAATAAATTCAACAACTTATTTTTACTTCCTATACCACATCTGTAGAGTCTGCATACGTTTCACTTTCTTTTGCAGTTGAAGAATTCCATACAGAAGTGCTTCTGCAGTAGGAGGACAACCTAAGAGAGAGAAATGTTAATTTTTTCAAGACCCTTCAAAAAAAATCAGGAAACAGAATAGGCAACTACAAATTTATCCTTCAATTTTTGTACATTTTATTAGTTAACTATGTGACCACTCGCTAAAGTGAGTTTATCTCTGACTAATTGTTGAAAATGAATTCTACACTTATTTAGAAAATTCAATTTCTATCTATACAGTTATTGATGGTAGTGAAAAGTATAGTTAATAATCTTTTTATGTTTATGATTCCATATTCTAAATAATTACATGATATGCAAGGAAAGCATGGAATACCAAGAATAAATAAACTAGCAAAGTATTGTATTAATAAAAAAATGCCTTATTAGTCAACAATTATGAAGTACTTTATTTCAGCTATTGAAAATTATTGAACATATTAGTATGTTTTCATTTATTCTTCTTGAGTGAGCATAATGCATATTGAACTTCTTTTACATTGCCTTGTACTGGGCTGTTAAGACTGTTTTATTACAATAAAAGCCCTGCTGCCATTATCACATGAATTAATAAGCCAAGAGAACGAAAAGAAAAAGACTCACCTGGCACATAAATGTCCACAGGGATGATTCTGTCACAGCCTCTGACTACAGAGTATGAGTAGTGGTAGTAGCCTCCACCATTGGCACAGCTACCCATGGAGATGACCCAGCGAGGCTCTGGCATCTATAAACAGACACAATGTGCCTAATCCTCATCACTTCAATACCAACAGACCATCCCATTCAAATATCACTGAAATGGGATTCACTCTCTCTTTGCCTCCCATTATATACCATTTCATTTTTTGTCCATGTTCAATTTCTCTTCAAATAATTACTAAACAGCCAACAGTAACAATTCTCTTATTTAAGTGCACTCCTGTATCATAATTTATGTATGGGATGTCAATAACTGCAAAAACATTAAATTTACCTGGTCATACACTTTTCGAAGTGCTGGAGCCATTTTATTGGTGAGTGTCCCAGCTACAATTATAACATCAGCCTGCCTCGGTGAGGCTCGAAATACAACACCAAACCTATCCATGTCATACCTAGGGGCAGCAATGTGCATCATTTCTACTGCACAACATGCCAATCCAAACGTCAGGGGCCATAATGAAGACTGGAAAAAGAAAGCACAACTTATATTACAGCTGAAGTATAGAATATGGTACAATATGTATGATTATATTATGTAATTTACATTTGTTTCCAATTTATCACACAATCTGCAAATAATAAAAATTTATCTTCATAATTATTTTCACAATTTGTAAGACAATAAAAATTCCATGTTTAGCAAGTATTACAAGCAAGTATTATAGTAAGTATAGAATTTGAGCATTAGGTCATTGAGCTAAGTTAATGATGGGAAAAATCTTCATTTGCACTTATCATATATTCAAACAGATACAATACTTTCTCTTCAAAATGTGTACAAGTACACTGGGGTAACTGGAAAGGAAAATACACCTGAAATATGAAAAGTGCACCTGAAATATTAATTGACATTTTATATTGTTTAGATTTTTCTATATAGTTTTTCAGAATATTTTTAATTAAAAAAGTATAAGTGAAAGCTCTGAAATGTTACTCCAGTTAGGACCCGGGGAGGTGAAAATGACCTTTTTAAGAGGATAATTTCTACTGCACCTAAATTTGTTTAACAAATATCATTACAAAAAAATAATAAAATAAAAAAAATGTTACGTGCCTCACTAAACATATGGAGGTAGCAATGTAGAAAAACTACTACAAATCAAATTACACTTTGTCCTCAATGCCAGATCAATGAAATTTTGACTCCGAACAAATTCACTTTTTACCAGTTACCAATTTTATTACCAGACAGGTCTCCTTTCTTGCCCAGAGGGTAAATTTTATTTTTCCCCAAAATTCTGCAATAGTTCTGCTGCCCATCTCTATGCATTGGTCATAAATTTCTTTGCATTACACCAGAGAAATTACTAATAATATTAGTATATCTTATTTCCACTTCCAATTCAAATTATTTAGGTAATTGTGTGCAATCTTTATTCTATATAATTAATCTCTACTTCCACCAAATTTTGATTTTTTTTCTTTTAATTTTTTGATAGCTTTGCAATTGCTTTCTCTCAGATAACTATACTGCCTCACATCCTTTCTCTTCAATGATTTTCTCAGTTTTTCTGAATCAATCATTTTACAAAATTATACACCAAAGTATATTGATTGTGGTTCAATAAAAACTAAAGTTGATTCTTCTTTTACCATAATTGAAATTATGACAACTTATTAATAAAACATCATACATTACTAAGAAATCTGCACTTACTGTTACAAATCTTCAATTCTTTGATATAGCAAATGTGAGTGCACAGACTCACTACAAACATACAACACACAAACTCAATTGATAGGATTTTCGACTGAGTTTTCTACTTTTGAAAGCAGTAGAAGAAAAAATGAAAGTGCAAAAGAGTAACTTTATGTACCCAGATTCATTAATAAGAACTCGTTTCCACTTACCTTGGTATATACGTTTCATTCTCATTAAAAATTAAAGAATAAGGAAAACAAACCTTCCTTCCCCAATTCAACAAATCGTCCAAACGAGCCAAGGTGAATTCTGCCCAATTGCTTGTATTTTGAAAGGGTGAATACGGCTCTCTTTTAGGTTTCACAGCTACAAATAATAATAATAATGATATTATTTTAAAATGTCTGCACCGTTTAGCATTAATGATCGGCAATGATCCAGAATGTGAATTACTTGCCTGCTGACTTGGCGGGTTCGGGGACCGACGACTGATTTCTCGTAAAAAGGCATGAAGCCAATTTGCAGGAATTCAGTGGCTGAAATCCTCCCCTCAAAAGAAGCTGTAGGGAAGACACTGTAAAAGCAGAATTTTAGATATTGCGCAGAATTGATGTCGATTTTCCCAAATGGCGATATTACGTACTTGTTGATGACCTCTTCCAACTGTGACAGTCGTTTTATGGCACCGCACAATTTACACAAAAGCCTCACCAGCACCTGCTCCTCACTAAAATGCCATAGAATGTGGTCAACATAAAACAATTGCGGACAGCCACCCTCCAGCGAGCAAAAGAGTTTAGCTCAGAGACGTCACGCAATGTTTAACCGACAACATTCATTTGTCCTACTTCAGGTGGCGCCATACTCTTCTGTATGAATTTCTATTCGATCTTATATTAGCCAATTGTGGGGAAGTAACAGGGAAATTTGAAACTAACAGCGTGCAGGACTCAATTTTTTCTATTTATTTTGGATCGCCATTTTTCAATGCATAAATAATTTGTATTTCTTTAATTAAATATTTTCTTTTTAATTTTGAAATAATTACTTATAATATTATAAGTAAATAAAATAAATATTTATTTTAAAAATATTTGCATTGAACAAAACTATCCCTTCTCGGATATTTATTATTTCTGCCCCAATTGCTTGTATTTTTGAAAGGTGAATTACGCTTCTCTTTTAGGTTTCACAGCTACAAAAATATAATAATAATAATAATAATAATAATAATAATAATAATAATAATAATAATAATAATAATGATATTATTTTAAAATGTCTGCACCGTTTAGTATCAATGATCGGCAATGATCCGAAACGTGAATGACTTGCCTGCTGAGTTTTTTATTATACTTCCAACAATATTCACTATTTCATGTCAAGTTCATTCTCAAGGCATCTTTACGCTACTTACGTGGTCGTGGACCGGAAAATCACCGCTAGTACGAGAATTCTGTTGGTAAATATCCTGGATTGGACAAGGACGTTTTCGGAAGGCTACGGTTCCCACATAGAGAAGTCCAGACGGAGAACGTGAACCTCTCTTTCAGGTTGCTCAGGTTCCAGCGATAGTTAGTATAAAGATTGCAGGGAGGAGACTGGAAGGGGGCCTCAAGCCGCCCGGACCTTACTTCGGGAGGCCCCCTGTTGGGCTCTTGACTTCGTCGTGGCAGTGGCCCGATACTTTGGTCTTAGAGTCCTGGCGCATATGAATGTCACATTGCTTTGACTCTGGCACCAATCTGAATAGCTAGGAGCTCTGAGGTGGCACGGCGGCTCGACGCAGGCATTGAATGGGGAGGGTACCAATACTGCCTTCTAGCGGGATCCAGGTACTAGCCTGTCGGCGTACTTGTGCGCCGGAGGGGGTGCGAATAAAGGCTAACGCTTAGATGTCCAACCGGGAAGCAATCCCCCCACTGGTAGAACAAGGAACAGTGTGATGTGGTAGACCACGCGAAGCATATACTGGTAAAATTGCTTAGAAATTAGCTTAATAGCTTAATATTAATTTAGGGAAATTAATATTGGTATCTAGGTCTCATGAACATCATTGTTTGGAAATAACAACACGTATAATTAGATTATTACAGCAGTGAAAAATTAACTACTGTTCTTTAATTTAGAATAATTTCTTGCCTTGACTTTAAATTTATCAACAATTCTATATTAACACTAGTGTTCCTTGTTACATGTATGTATCACATTTCTGGTCAACTCGTGTTTGCAGCTGTTTGCACTAATTTGCAAATATAATTTCTTCAATAGACGAAGACTTCCTAAATGAAACATAAGCAAGTTTTTTCATTCCTGAATGCCTAATGTCGATTTAGGCATGATCGACAAGGCATTGTATATTCCTGGACATGGATCGGTTCGGTTCTGATCTACTGCGATTTCTACGCACATTTCGTGTCGCGCTAACTTCCTTCATCAACACACATTTTTACTGGTTAACGGCCCACCCCCATCTGCTTATTTTTATGTCCTCAATAATACTTTTTTCTGATCTTTTTTATTACCATTGTTTCTATAGCACTTCGATGCTATGCTGTCACCCTTTGCAATTACATAACTTTGCATAATACTAATCTCCTTTGTTGTATTGTAATAATGTTTCATTATTGTGGTGAACAATCGTCCTCCCTTTTAGGGAGGACAGGCCAACTTTTGTAGTTTCTGTCCTTCCTCTAAAATTGTCCTCCTTTTCGATATTTTAAAACGAATGTGTTAATCTAGTGTTAATATGTTAATCTAGTTAATCAGGTTAGAAATCAAGTTTGAATGTTGATACGCTAGCTGCAGCATTTACCGTAAAATGCAATATGAAAAATGTTTCTTGCTCCGCACTGCATCTTAGAGCTCTAATATATAGTAGTTAGTTAATAATCTATAGAATTTTCTCAGAATTCGCTGACTGTACCGTGCACAGTCAATGCTTGATTGAAACATGCGCAAACCTTTGCCTCATCTGCGAATTGGAAATATCACACGCTCCGGTGTCAAGATTTTAATAATAAATTGCACACAAATTTAAAAGATCGTTTCGAATGGACAAAACATCAAATCATCCATGAATAATAATGAGAGAGAGAGAGAG